AGAAGGGTGACTGCAGGCAGAGGGAGCACCGCATGGGTCTGCGTGCCTCTGCAGCTGCAGGCAGGTCTGTGTGTGCTGCCTGCAATCGTTCTCCCTCTGCTCCCACCAGACAACCCGCCTGGACAGAGATCAGAGGGATTAAAAAGGGCAGGGACACATCCGGGGAAACCCAGACCAATGGTAACCCTATTCCGGTGGCGGCACATGCGCACTTGATCAAAAGCGTTACAGACAGACAGACTGGCCCTTTATGACATTAGAATTTGAATCTAAAAGAATGACAGTTAATGAGAATCCTTCCCACCCTGTGTGTGTAAATCAACATGTCAAAATTCCTATTCTAGTTGGTATATTTTGGTTTATCTACATTTCTCCTGTTTCTTTCTTCTTTTTTCCCCAGTAGGAAGTTGTTCTTCCTTTGCGCTCCTAATGCAAACTAGTTCTGAAGCAGCTGAATCTAGTGGTCATGAATGTGCCTTCTGCTGTGATTATCAAAGGTTTGATTAAGTGATGTGCAAGGTTTTCAGTAAAGGTGAGTGTTTTGTTCACTTCTGTGTTTAAAAAAAAATGACCAAGTGACCAATATGGTTCTGCAGTATGGTTCTTGCACTATTTGTGTTTGTACTATCAATTGCAAGATAGGAATCTAAATGTTTACATGTCTTGTGGGTGTAGTTTTTCCCTTGCAAACTTTAGAATGGAAAACATCTTACTGTTAATGCAGACTTTAGGACAACAGGTTTTTTTGGAAACATGTTAACCATTTTATGTTTTCTAATTTTATTAATTATTTCAAACACTTTCTTGTTTATTGCAAGTAACAGGTTAGAGAGAAAGTGAGTGAAATTTTAGATGATTCTCTTACACTGTTAAATTTCAGCTTTTGACTAAAATATAGATCAGTGGTACGTGATCCCAAATTACATCCAAGCAGGCATAATGTCACTCAATAGGAAAAAAAAATGATTCAAGGGTTTTATAAGACCAGAATTATTTCTACTCTTTGTTATCTGGCCAGTTGCAGTTTCAAATCTAGGGAGCATCTACACAAATTAGGCACTCACATTAGCTGCAAATTTAGCACGCATGACTTGACCAACATTTTTGTTAGTTCTGCTCTTTAAATTTGTATCAGTATCAGACAAAATTAAATTAAGATAAATAGGACAAATCACATCTCTTGGAGCAGTAATTTGTCTCAGATATAGTTATCCTTGTTTCTGTTCAAAAGACTATTCTTGCAATAGTCTAATTTGAAAGGCTAAATGTATAGATACATATTTTAAATTAAAGTTTTGCATTCTGGTGAACAGCAATATCTCTGGGGTCCAAATAACTACATCAAATGGGCTGTGCCTGTGCAGGTATATGAAATGCTCAGAGATTTTGACTTATGTTGATCTAGGATATACTTGACAGTAATAATGGTTCCCTGAATTTTATTGTTTATTTCATTGGCAGGTTGTTGCATATTTTGAAGACATTTTTTGACCTTTTACTGCTAGAATGGTGTGTCATTTTTGTCTTCTTTTTAATTGCATTATTTATCTTGCCTGTCAATTTGGAAAAGCATATGTCTACTCCACTGTCCAAAAATGTTTTTTTGGGTTTTGTTTTTCCCCTGGCGCTCTCAGACTTGTTTTTAACTGACTTTCAATACCTGTATCCCCTAGTTTCTGTTTCTAGTTTGTGGTTGCTGGTTCTTTTGTGATAAGTGGCATGGCACTCAAATGTGCTGAGACTTAACTACTAAGGATGTGTGAAACGGGCCGTATTCAATTAGGATTCGGATTTGGATTCAGCCCGAATTGGGGACAGTGATTCACTTCATTGATTCGGATCACTGTTCCTGATTCTATTCGGCTGAATCCATATCTGAAGATTTGATGCTGATTTGGCGAATCGGAGATTCGGCCACAGATACAGCTTTAAATGCTTTTTCAACATACCTTAAGGTACTAGGTGCAGCTCGTGAATGCTGTGATGGGGCGGTGGATGGAGCGTCCCACAGGAGCATGGCCCCCCCACCCCCCACTCCTCCCGCATGCTCGGCAGCAAACCCAGAAGTACTTCTGGTCCACTTCTGGGTCTGCCACTGAATACGCAGGGGGGCCCCCACGCCCCCCCAGCTCAGCAATTGGCCATGGGGGGAGCCTGGGTGCCCCCCCAGACCCAGGAGGCACCAATCACCAAGCTGGAGGGCTGCGGGGGGGGGTCCCCCGCTCCCTGAAGGACCCAGAAGTGGACCAGAAGTGCTCCTGGTCCACTTCCGGGTCTGCTGCCAAGCATGCCGGGGACCCCTCTGCACTCCTGTGGGATGCTCCATCCACCCCAGCATCACAGCTTTCACGAGCCACCTGGTACCTCGAGGTATGTAGAAAAAACATTTAAAGCTGTGTCTATGTCTGAGTCACTGAATCTTTCTGAATATCTCCGAATTGATTTGGAGAGATTAAAGTGTCCTCTGATTCAATTTGAATTCAGAGATTTGGCCACCGAATGGGGCCGAATCTCTGCTGAATTGAATCTGGAACTGAAGCTTTGCACAGCCCTATTAACTACCAGTGTTGCCTTACTGTTATATCATGTGGAAGGGTTACCAGATAATGAACTTGATGGCTGATCTGTGTGTATTGTCAGTAATTTTTTAAATTAAAAAAATAATTAAGGTAAGACTGTTCATTTAGCTGCAGCGTGTGTGCATATGCAGAAACCCTACTTTTAAGCACAAGTTAACTACATCTGTTCTACATGTCAGTCAGCATAGTTATTCAAGTAAAGGTACACTGAGGCACTGTTATAGTACTGTGCTATCACCCTTAAAATAGAATATTTTGGAATGATTGGATGTAGCATGCCAGGAGCTTTAACTGTAGGATTAGGAATGTTAATTGGAAACTTGCTTTGCTGAGCTTCCCTGCTTCTGAAGCATCTATAAGGACATCATTCTTTAATGCCTGTGAAGTACTTTGGGATCTTGGCATAGAGGTGCCAGAAAAGCAAAGCTTACTGGATCAGTTTTTTGAGCATAACACATGTAAAGTCATTGCAGAAGAAAGTAGCTACAAGTACTGACCACTTTAGATTTAGCTGAAAATAAAGGTCTCTGCATTCCTTCACCGCTTGTTTGCAAGAAATAAATTTGACGTGGGCATTCATCTCCCAGCAGGGAGCCATTGTCACATGACACTGTTCTATTTCTCTGGCCTTATCTCTTAATTAACTAATCTCTAATGCTCTTTATGTTTTTAAGTAATCATGTAATCTGTCCTCATTTTACAATGACAAATTTAAGGGCAATGATTTAAATTGGTAAAATTTCGGCAACCGAGTGTTGCTGGAATGCGCTATCTTTACTACATCCTTCTAAGTTGTCTTTGACAATTGGTTACTAAGAATGTGGTAGCTTGGGGAGCCTCATATAGCATTCCTTTGCTACTTGCTAAGCTGCACCCACACAAAGAAGGAAACACTTGTCTGGTATTATAAGGTGACCAGAATGGTGTGTAATGCAAGAAGGCTAATCTCATAAATTGTATTAAGGTTACTCAGGAATTATTAGCTCTGAAGAAGCTGTTTATACTTTCTTCTTTGGAATGTTATATTCAATATTCTGTAGCTGTTCAAATAAAATATTGTCTAGACTGTGTGAGCCACATTTTTTTTTAAACATATTAAACTATTTCTTGCATTTTTAACATTTCACATGGGCTAGTTTTCAGACTTGAATGTCTGAATTTAAATTCCCAAATCCACATCTAAATGCCAGATGTTAAATTAAGCATCTAAAGAGGAGGGGTCTTAGTTGTATCAGTAATGGACAAACTCTCACACTTCTGAAATCACAATGCAAGCTCAGTGCCTTTGGAAATCAGGACACTGCCATTTAAGTGCCTAAATATGGATTTTGGAGTCAAGGTCCAAGGAATACAGGTTTGAAAACTGGCTTTAAACTTCAAAAAAAGATTTGTATTTTTTTAATGTCTGTCACTGAGAGTCATGTGTTTGGTTTTTAATTTGAGAAACTGAACTGTAAAATATGGTTGGGGTGATGGTCAGAAATACTGAGCACCTGTAGCTGCCATTGACTGCAGTTGAAATCCTGGTTGCTCACACAAGTGAAAATCAGGCCAAGTGGAACTATATTGCTACTGAAGACACTGGGAGAAGGTGTCTGTCAGCACTTTTTAAAGTCAGGCCCATTTACTTAGGTGCTTGAATATAGCCTTAAGAAGCCACCTATGAGCTATTGCAAGGGTGTTCAACCTCTGGCCCAGCCTGTGAGACCACAGCATTTGGCTTGTCGGACTCCCCACAGGTCCAAAGATTTGGAAGTCAGGAAACAGTGGCAGAGTTAATTGCAGCTCCTCTCTGCCAAATTTCCAGACCCGTGGGGAACCTCACAAGTCAGATGATATGGCTCTTCCTGCGTGCTAGATTGCATTGGCAGGATGCTAGATCCAGTTGGCAGGGTTGGGCTGTGCGCCATGTTGGGCCAGCATGCATGACCAGGCTGGCACACTAGATTGCACTCATGGACCCAAACCTGTGGGGCTGGAAGGCTGAGCACCACTGGGCTATTATGTTTTGGAAATCTTGGCCTTTACGCCTACTTTGACTCCCATGGAATTAAGTATTCTTATGTGTTAAGAATTTGGTTTCAAAAGCCACAGTGAATTTAGTGGAAGTCTTAGGAACTCAAATTGTTCTCTTGAATCAAATTTGAGACCTGTCATTTGAATTGTGTTTCCATGTGGAACAAGGTGTGTCCATGCCTCTGTCTTAGCAAAGAGGGAGGGAACAGCTGATTTCACTGGACACACTATTCACAGAAAGGAAGGCTTTCAATTATGGAAACTCATAAAATAAAGTAATTTATACACAAACTGAAGACAAAATAATTTGGAGTTCAAAGGTCAGCAAGCATGCAAATTAAGGAAAAGCTGTATGAAATGGTATATATTTAAACATTTTCTTTTAACAAGTGTTTTTTTCTTGCAGTATCTTTTTAATATCTAAATTTACATTTGCAAGCAGCAAAGTTGAATATGTCTAGAACAGCATTTACAATGTTACAGATTCTCTTGTTTCTGACTGAGAGTGGACAAATACATTTTATGTTACAGGTTATATAATACAAAGCTGTCATATTACAGTCAAGTAATAACCATGAGATAGTACAAAGGCCTTCATTAACTGGGAGGCTTCATCATAGACAATGTTAGCATATTTACTATTTGTTTTATCTGCGCAAGATCCAGTTTCAGTAACACGCTACCATTCTTGTGTCCTTACGCAAATTTGTCTTCTACAGTCTGTCAGGTTATCTAACACAATGAGGCCATTGCTTTGGGGTTCGGCTTTTTGACTGCGTGGTGTTGGAAGAAGCCCCCGATGGTTTGTTATGTCTCTTAAGCAATGTAGCGAACAAAATAGGAAGCACAGATAATGGGACAGAGCCACATGTAAAGGAAATATGTGATAGGCTAAACCAAACACCTAGTTTAGCAGTTAACCTACATCTTTCCTCCCCCACCCCCAAGTTTTGATGGTGTGTATAGGGGACAGAACAGTGGCAGCTCACGCAGAGAGGTTGGACTCCCTGTACCGGAATTCTTCTCCATCTGGTTCCCCTTTGAAAACCATTCTGACTGAAGGGTTTGAACATATGATACACCTGTCAACAGCTTGTCCACGCCAGTGGACCAGCTGAGAGGAGCAGCAGGTCATGTAGCTCTCTTACTGAGAACAAAGCAGTTTGTGTACGTTGTGCAGCTCTGCCATGCACAGTTTCCTTCAGCAAAGCTAGATGTGTAGCCAGTAGTGTTTAGCAAATGAGCTTTTCTGTTAACACCCTCATTCTGTTTCCTTCTTGTTAGGGATAGAGAATTTAATTTTTTTTTCCACACCAAAAGCAAAGAACCCTGTTTAGATCAGTTCGAGGAAATGGAAAGGTACAACAAGAAAAAAACCCCCTTCATGTAATAGTCTGGATGCTAAAATGTAGGATATGGCTCAACATACAGAATATCTGTAGCTCTCACGTTATATTATCTGCTTTTACCCATGACAAGAGGAGCTGTCCATTAGTTTAAACAACCGCTACAGTAGCTGTGACTCTGGAATACAGCTGGGGAAAACAAACAGCTGATTGAAAATCAAAACTAATTAGCTGTACAGCGATCAGGTAGCTGTCGACATAGCATCTGAAAACCAGCAACAACTGGACTGCAAAGATGTTCTGAGAAAATATTCCCAGTTAAAGCAGAGAGTAGTAAAATTTTGCACAGATATAGTTAAAATGTTGATGCCCAAACCTTAGAAAGTTGAGCTGGTATCTTTAGCTCTGCCATTGTACTACTAACAATAAGGGTTAGGCTAAGTTTTGCCCTCTACCATTTGCTTTTCTTTAGCTGGGCTTATCTGGCAGCTGTGCAGATACCAAAGATAAAGTTCTATTCCTTTACAGGATCCCAAATACCACCGCCAACTCAGTCCATGTTTTATTCCAACTTTTTTGAGTTTAAAATAAATAACTGCTTGAGGATCCTCCAACTAATTCTAGGATGTGCTGTATGTTCAAAATGCACCTACAAATAATATCTGACTCTATGAATTGGACGATTCCTAGAGGGGAACCCTAGCTTGTCTCCCTCAGCAGCTTTTCTTCAGTGTGGTTACTGGTTAAGGAAATCAAAGGACTGAAAACTGGCCAGCTAGTCTTTTCAGGGCCAGTCTGAAAAGATTTATTTTCCTCAAGGGTCTAAGGGCTAGACTACTGGTGGACAAATTGAATGGATTTGCCAATAACTTAGAAAACTCCTGTACTTTAAGTGTTGATTTCCAAGGTACTATTTCTGGTCTTGTTTTTGGAGCTGGTTATCACACATACTCTGGAGAAAATATCTTAACGTTTCATACATTTTTTAACTGGTCAGGTGTATGCAGAATAACCATTACAGATGCACAAATTACTGATTCAGCCCATGAGAGGAGGAGCCCTCAACCCTCTGCTTGTTTATATATAAGATCCAGTGTACTATCTACCATGCTCATTCAGGATATATTGGCAGAAAATATCTGAGAAACGGTAAGCACAAACCTTACCTTAATGTTGTCATGTTAGTTGCACTGTTCCACAATACTGCAATTTTTGCACAGTGCATAAATTCTCAGTACAGTTTTTTTCTGCTCTATTATGTGCATCTTATGAATTTAAGATAAAATACCATCTCTTAATATATTAACAAAGATCTTGTCTCAGGATAGATTTCTTAAAATAGTAGTTAAAAAGTTTTATATAAGTTTCTGACTGCAATTTCTTCAGTTTGGTTTCTGATGTTTGTACTCCCCAGAAGAACAACCAGATTGCCTTAACTTTAAAAATGCAAGGTATGTTGTTTGAATACCTTTGTAAACCTGAATTAAAAAAAAACGATTAGGTTTTTCAAATTTCTTTTCTTATTTCCAAGAAAAAGAAATGGAAAGAATCACAAAATGATGTCAGCTAATTGTTTTTAATTTACATCCGTTTGAGGCATAACAAACTGCTTGTAGTTATGTATTGATGTAACAATCCCTAACCAGTGAGTAGGAGTCTGAAAACCCAGCTGGGCTCATGCCCCATGGAAGTAATGAATATCACAGGTACTTACTATGAGGATAGATGTATCACTCTAAAGTACAATGTGTCACAGTCGCCATATATAAAAAGGTGTATGTAGAAATGTGTTTTTGATGTTTCATACATTCTAAAAGTAAATCTTCACAATTTTCAGTTTTTCATTTAACTTCAGTGAAAGTCCACATCAATCAAGAAGCTCAACTGACAGTTGCAACAGTTGGAGTCGGTTCACCGCCTTCGGCTCCTGCTTCTACCTGATTGGTCTTACCAAGCTGTTTCAGAGTGTCCAACACGAGCTTGATAGTTTCCTTCATGCTTTGCTGCAGAAGCCAGCCCTCACTTTCACATTCAGGGTCTTCAGGATTTGCAATGCTTTCTAGGGCAGTGTGCAAAAGACGCAAACCAATCATCACTGTCACCTGGGTGGGATAAATTGGAAAAGGCAGTGAAATCCAGCAAACATCTTAGATCCTCAGGCAACTGAATATGCTCCTTCCCCTTGTCATCATGTAGTATCATGAAAGCAATATTCACTGTTCTGACTCTTAGACCCTGCAGGTCTGAGTAGCATTAATTTGCTTTACCTGCATCTCACTCAGGAAGAGCCAGCGCCTTGCCAGATGCAAACTTTGAAAAATCCATGCAGCTGAAAACAGTGAAACACGAATCCCCCAAATGAAAGAAGTCACCTGAGCTCCTATGAATAACAGAAGGAGGAAAGAAAACAGATCCCATCACCTCCAGACAGCCAGCCAATGTGGAGTAGAAAGAAGTGAGGCGGTATGAGGAGTAAGGAATGGAAAAGAGGAAGTAGAAAAGAGAAACTGCATTGCTTGGAATCTGGGAATCACAAAATAACCACGGGGTGGAACATGCATTGTAGTATCTGGCTGACAGACAGTGCATCAATCTATTAATTTTGCTGGTACCCCCGAAATCATGAAGCAAATGTAGTGTCAGGCTGCTGTGCAATGATGGGCTTGACTGTGCATGTGCGCATGTGTGTGTCTGCACATACATTTGTATTCTGGCTAAATTTACTTTGTACATGGCTCTCCATTTCTTCTAGAAGCTCTAATTTGAGGTGTATGGATTTCCCAAGGAATTTTAACCTTAACTCTGTATTAACCTTTATTAAAACTACGTGCTACATTAACTTCATCGTCTTCAGTCCATTTGAATTCTGAATAAAACGCTTTGACTCTTTCATTCATCATCATCATCTTTGGTAAATGTATCAAGAAGGTCAAAAAAAAGGTTTCCTGAACCTAAGCTGATCATGCTATCCAGGAATAAGTGGGATTAGTAAGTGACCCATCAGTTACTCAGTTATAATTGTCTATGTTGCTTTTTTATACAAAAAATATTTATACTCCACCTATTGCATTGACTTTTATCTGTCATTGTGTATATCTGAAAGAAAATTTTGGCTGGGGTAAAATATTTACTGATCCCCAAAGCCTTCTTCATACTAAAGAACTATGGTGGGTTTGTCTCCAACCTGCCTGCCAACAAAATATGGTAAGTCACAGGAGCCTATTGGTTTTTAAGTATTCTTTTATCTTTGAACATGGCTCAGAAAAATCAAACTTCCTGCTGTGTTGTGTTTATAAAGAAATTGTGCTGTCTGTGACAGAGAGAGAGAGGAAATGCTGTTCTGAAGGAAAAGCTTCATGCAGTGGAAGGACAGGTAGGCTAACAGCGGGAACGGATTTCAGATGTTGCATACAACCAAGGTCTAGATCACTTGTCATTAACAATCTCTTGGCATTTGTTCTACTAGAAAAGGGGGCTAATGCCATTTTCTTCTTCAAGTTTTAAATGAAGTAATTGCAATCCTGTCTTACCAAGTTCCCTCCAGGTTGAACTGAATGTGATAGTCCTCTTCACTTGACCCTAAACCATTGCACTGGTCCCATCTTTAATCCTAGAGGCCATATTGCAGTAATGGTTAAAATGATTATGGTCTTTGTCCCTTATTCATCTTATGGCACAGGTGTAACTGAACCAATCTTATGATATAAAATTGTCACATAAATGTAAAGCATTAATATTTACTGCACTATTTTAACTAGACATGGGGGCAAATTATAAAACTTAAGCTCAGACTTACAGTATTCTGGTGGTGGTGCAGATGGATAGATTTGGTTCAGCCAATTATGGTTATCTGCAAAACTCACATCCAGATTTTGGATGCTTCTTAAGTTTAAGGTGCTTAGATACATACTTATAAGATCACTCTTTCTCATTTTAACCAGGCCTAACATATTGGATAGATCTAAATGTTGTCTCAAACTCCTGGGTAAAGAAGGCTACTTCTTAGTTTCCTCCAAATACTGCAGGTAGCAGTATTTGTTCTGTCTTATTCAAGAAGAGAAAAGGTTGATGAAATGAACAGGCTTTGCCAAACGTCCACATATTTCCATACTCAAAGACAGCTGGCTCTCAGGGCACATACAAAGACCCTTGAGATCCCTGACCTTTACAAATACTCCAGGGCCCTGCTTCTGGAAGATGCTGAGTGCCTCAATTCTCATTTAACCAGATGGCACCATTGGATACCTCTATCAAAGGAAGCATTAATTCACAATAATCACACTTAGAATTTAACAGACTTCTGACAATCTGAGAGATCAATCCCTCCAATTTTGAGCCTAATGCTATTATTTTTTCTTATGGCACCAGTGCTATTTATAGGCTTACTGCTATGAGCCAATAAATAGCTTTCAGGCTTTGGGCCTAAAATACAGTCTCTATAACTGTCCAGTAATGATTTGTCTTGCATTCATCACTGTTCATCAACAGAAGGTCTTTGCAGAGTGCCTCAGCAGCTTTACTACTTGACAGTAAATTGCTTGTATGGGGCAGTTTGCCGGAGGTGCTCTCATTGTTTGGATATGGTTTAGCAGTAAGGCATCATCATTTCATGCCCTGTAGCTAAGGCAGCCTCAGAGAAGTTTCCCAGTAATTTTCACCAATTTAACACCACCTCTTCCTGCAAGGCCTCATTTTGTGGTTTTAAAAGACCTTGAGCCCCAAATGCCCCTCAGGACTGAGAGAGGCTTGCCTGGAGATGAATGCATCTGGGCTGAACCCCCATCCAGGAAGAGCACACACCAACTGCTGAAGCTTCCTTAGCCTGACGAAGGGTTTTTGAACCCGAAAGTTTTCTTAATAACTATTCTCCAACCATTTGAGTTGGTCTAATAAAAGATATCAAATTCACCCAAGGAACCTTGTCTGCCTATGTCCTTAGACCAACACGGCTACAACCCAAACCTCTGGGCTGAACCTGCATTTCTGCTGCAGTACCAGCTTATGAGAGCCTAGGGAGCTGAAGGCCAATGTCTGAAAAGTGAGCTTGCATCTCTGGTATGACAGCATAGAGCACTGGGCCACCTCTCCTATTAATCAAGTTATTAGTCAATTATCTACCAGCATTGCTTGTCCAGGCACTCTTTATTATGGCATCTGACTAGGACTGTGAAAGCTACATGCAGTGAACTATTCTTATGAAAGAAATAACATAACTAGACTAAAGTTTGCTGCTTCAGTTTGCCTTGATGCTTTTACTTGAAGTAGGGTCTCACCTAATTACAGTGCAGCAGAGAAATACTGATAGCTGTGGCCTGAGAGCTCTGCTGGTTCCATTCCTCTTCGCAATGAATGAGCATTTGTAACAATTCTTATAGCTTTTATGGACACTGCATAACAAAGCCTTGCAATCTTGCTGCTGCATCTGAGAGGGATGGGTAGAGCCTATTGGTGAAACTATTTGTTCCTTCCTTCCTTAATTGTAAATGACTTCACTATTACCGTTCAACATGCACAGGAGCATGCAAGAAGAGAAGGTGTGATGGTTTGTGTTCTACAGAATGATGGCATTCAGCTTTAATCCCTTGACTGAACATGTTGTGGTCTCTGTTCTCACAGTGGTTTACTAAGCTAGGAGATGTGCTCCACTAGCTGTCTCTCAGTTCAGACAGGAATGCTGGTAGATGGAGGAAAGCATCACATGGATCCAGTGAAGATGGTGAATCTCTGTTCTACTGAAACAAATCTTTAGTTACTAGAGAGCACTTAGGCCCCTGTCTACTTCTAGCATTGTCACCCCCTGCACTGAAGTAACAGATTGCCTTTATCATGGCCCCCCTGCCATTAATTTTGTCTAAATGTTGAAGGTAGCAGCATGTTGTCTTTGCTGTGTAAATAATACAGATCATATTATATTTGCACATCAAATACATCTCTGATTTTACAGTTCATTGGGGTCCAAATAAAATTGTGGAGTACACTCCCTATATTATTTCCTACATTAGACCTACTTACAAGACCACCCTGTCCCCTGTGAACCATTGCGATGGCTAAGTCCCATTTGTCTCTCCCTTGTCCATCACAGTATTTTCTGGAATGCCTTCCATGACAAAGAGGTGGTCAGGCAAGTTAGTCTGAAGTCTGGCAGAAGGTAGGACAGGGTGGCACCTTAGGGCGCCTATACATGTAAAGTGAGGTGGCTTCGATGCACTGTAATTACAGCACCTCAGAGCAGGCTTGATTAATGGAGTCTTCTGGATCGTGGCAATTACTGCATTCCGGCAGACTCCAGTGTCACTTGTATCAGCGTCCCCATGCTGAAAAATGGTGGCAGGGGCGCTTTAACTAAAGCTTGCTGATGCACATGATGCTCCAGGTCCTTTGATTAGGATGGCTTTCTGAGCCCATCTAATTAAAGTGCCCATCCCCACTCCCAGAGCACGCCTATAAATGCCCTTAGAGACCAAATGGTTCAGAGAGAGGCGTGAGATGACAACCTACTTCATCAGCCTTACCAAACCACTTGAGCCTCCTATCCTAAGCATTCTCAGCTTGGACTGCTCTGGACAGTACATTCTGTGGACAGTCCTTAAATCTGGTGCTTATTTTCCCTATTGGTCAAAGCAAGTAAGGAAAAGCAGCAGAGCTTGCACTGTTTGACCTTCAGAGACAAGTCTCATCTGCTTACTAAGCTTTGGCTTGCAGTGGATTAGTTGTGTGGAAGGTGGCGTGATCTTATTTTGTCACATTGAAGGCTGTCTGTTAAAGCAAGGGTTGGGAGTGTACATTTTCAGCTATTAGAAACAGCATGTACAGAATTCCTGGTGTGTAAATTTGTAAATATTTACAAAAGAGACATCATGTCACATGTTTTTATACCCACTTTAATATATCAAACGTATTCCCTTGCTTTAGCTCATCATGTTCCTACAAAAGCTTTCACTTAAATGGTTTTCCCCTCCCACTTCACTTCTTTCCATTGGGCACCTTTTGTTTTTGCCCATGATTCTAAAGTGGGCATCCTTTTCTCTCTAATCCTCTTTCTGAAATTCAGGATCAATGCCATCATTAGAATGTGCACAGCTCTGCAACACCCAGAATGGTATTTACTAGTCAGGGGCCACTATAGTGCTGCTGCTTTGAACTTTCATTGTATTCAGAGGCAAAGCAAAATGGGGAGGCTGTGGTACAGCTATTATATTCAGCTTCCCAGCAAAGCAGTAGTAGGTGAAAACATAATGAGAGATTTAGAAGTTTGAAAGATAACTCCCCCATGTGATTGCCATTTGTTAGCCAGGTTGAATTTTCAACTCTGGCTTGGGGACAGTGTCCTTATATATATCATTGTTATTCAGTACAGGATTATTTGTCTTCTCTTTATTCAAAACTGACATGGTTTAGACAACGCTGATCCTGCTATGAGCAGGGGGTTGGACTGCATGACCTCCTGAGTTCCCTTCCAGCCGCATTACTCTATGCATTTTATGAAAGCTGTGCTGTATTATGGGAGAATAAAGCAGTGTCTATTTGTTTCCTAGACTGTTTTTTTTTCTTCAAAGGCCTTGTGTTACTGTAGCTTGTATTCACTGAGAAGGATTGACTTTAAATGGGTTTCTTTTATCTATTTAGACAGGGGCTGTATGCTGGTCATCCAGCTCTTCAGCAAAGGGAGCCCAGAACCTATATCTGGATTGTCTGTGCCTGAACAGACCTATGAACAGGACTGAACATGAAGCCAGGCATAGGTGAGGTGTCCCATTCCTGAACAATTATTGTCAAGTACTGCCAACTCTCACTCTTTTGAGTCTTGTCATTTTTCATGTTTTCTTAAAACCTCAGACTATAGGGATTTTCTGATTCCATGAAAAACTTAGCTTTCATTTAAAAGGTGTACTCCATACATCTGCAAAGAAGCTTGAAAATGTTCCCCAAATGCATCCTGATGGTTTAGAAACAAAAATCTCATACAATTAAATATCTTTTTAAACACAAAAAACAAACCCTCACGTTGTTAATTTAAATCTCGGTGTTTTGGAGAGGCTGATCCAAGATTGTTTTTTATATCATTGCTGTATGGTCTGTTTATCAGTCCTTTAAGCCCCTGCTTATTTTTATTACTCAGAAATGTATTTTCATCCCCCTCTATGTAAGAGATCTTGGTTTTTGATTTTGCCTAAATCAAATCTTCTGGCTGAAGATTTTATTTGTTTGCCAGAAATTATATAGTTGTTATAAGAGCCATGGAGAAAAGCCACACATGGTCTCATGGGAGGTTTAAAAAAAAAAAAGTAATTTGCCATCTTCTGCATTCTAACCATAGTGATGGAAAATAAATGGAAAAGTTCAATAGGTTTCTGTCAATAAAAAGCAAATTTGGTCATTCATAGAAGTAAATGAGAGTCGGACAAAAATTAAATTAGAGCTTTAGTTAATCTTTGGGTTGTATATATTTGAATTTTACAATTAACTATTTAAAATGGCTCCTCCCTCCTGTTGGCAGCCATTTTAAGTCTACTTCTGTATTTGCAGCATGATCTATTCTCCTCCCTCCTGCCCCTACTTCTTCATGCTAGCTCCAGCTAACTCGAACCTAAATTTCTGCTTCATTCACATTTAGTGTTCATCAAATGTAGCAGCCAGGAGTCAGTGTTCACTTAGATGCAGAGAACATGGATTCTTCACACTGTGTTGAATTTACCATAAAACATCACATCACCACCAGGCATGGTGTTTGCATCATGACTGAATTCAAAGTGCAGTTCTAAATCCCGCCTTTTCAGTTAAACCATCCTTTTTGCCCAGAATATTTGTAGAACCAACTTTAGTGCCTAGATGAAAATGCTAGATGCAACCCCATGTTCCAGCCCTGTTGTCTTGCACTTGGATCCTGGTTCAGATTAAAATTTTAAGGATGATGTCATCTCTGTATTGAACTTTAATTTAACTTTCTGCTACAAAATACACTATTCATGTTTTAATGCATATGATTCTCCTTCAATTGTGATGTATTCTTAAAAAAGACCCATATCTCTGTCTTGCTTTTTTCTGTTCAGCAAAAGGTATTTTGCATTAAATTAGAAATCGACAGCTAGTGCCTTTTTTGTGTGGCTTTTAGTATGTTTTTTAGTATCCTCCATGATACACCAACACCTTTCTGGAAAGAGGGGTTATAATCTATCACAGGAAAATGCAGGTTTTATTTCCTCTGGCTGCAGGCTACTCCTGCAACCCAGGCCTTGAAGCCCCCTGTACAAATAGTGGTTAATATGTGCAACCACATATTGGTGGATTCTTAAATTTAAGCTTATAGTTAACACAGAAATGAATTTCTTGTGGGATAAGAATGCTCTGTGTTCCCTCAATCAATGTTCTAATACAACAGATATGTTTAGAGAAATTCCCATAACCACAAGTTACCTCCAAGATCCAGACGAAGAGGACAACAATGCCCATGGAACTCATCATGTTGGTGTAGTAGCGCAGAAGTGCATCCTTGCAGCCGGTGTCCCAGAGGTTGAGATCCTCTGCTTGATAGTCATAGCTATAGTGAGCTGAGTTGTTAGTGATCTGGTACTGGATACATGGTCTTGGGGAATTAGGATTGCAGCAACTGAAGGGGACTCCATCAACCAAGTATCTTCCATCCACATTGCTTTTAATTCGACTATATAATAGACAAGGGCAGAAGGAAGTGTCAATGTGTAGATTCAAGGAAAAAAACAGAACTTTAATATATGGGAAAGGGAGAAACAAAAGCAGATTTTTTTCTATAGTGTTCTATGATCATGCAGTGCCCAGTGTCCTGTCTCTGTCCACCCTATCTATACATTTGTACCATATGCTTTTCTTCTCCTGGGACTTCTGTAATGTCTTTGCTGGATTAGTGTGTGTAACCAGTACTCCATAGTGGGCACTTAACATTTCCAGTCCCTTCACCAATCAACCTGTTACCAATGTTGACAGCATTTGACATTATGGATGGGGGAGGAAGACAATCAGAAAAAAACACTGCTTCTCTGTGACCTTGAATAAGACTCAGCAACAGTCAAAGAATCTGGCACACCCTAGTAAACTACTGATTTAACAAATCCAGGGTCTTTCCTTCAACAGTGGCCAAAACCATTGGCCCAGAGTAGGTAAAATGACCCAGGATTTAAAACAACAAATGTGATTTTCAATGAGATGTGCAATAGTGTTTGAAGTTTGCTACTCGGGACCTACCTACCTCTTTGTTCTCCCTTTCAGAGCTCATTTCCCAATGAATAACCCTTTAAGCTGATACTTTACCTGCCTCCACCACCCCCCATGTTTACCTAGGTATTTATAATGCATCCATTTAGTATCAGGACCCAACTTTTGTCACTAACTGTGAAAGGCAAAAATAAATTGAGGACTTTGATTTCAAGAACCACCACTAGCTTCTAAAATGTTCAATATTTGGTGCCCAAACAATATTTTAATTCTGACATGCACTGCTGTCCATGGTAGTGGCGCCACCTGGGGATTTTATTCTTTTATCTGGACTGGCTCATTTTTAATGGATCACAAATGGCATATGTGGGTATCAGACAGGGAGGAGGACCTGAATGAAGAGCTTGTCTCAAGCCTGAACATTTCTGAGTGGCATTGCTGATGCATGAAGTGTGCAAAAAATCTCTTAGGAATTTTGAAAATCATGAAGTATAAGGGCAACATTTCCAAAACTGTTTTCAATGTGGATGACTTCCAAACCCTTCCTTCCTCAGTGGCAGTGGAAAGCAAAAATAGGAGGTTGGGGGTCATGGCAGGTACAGTTTTGAGGGTGCTGAAAGAACAAGTTAGGGACTACTTAGACAAGCTGGACATGTACAAGTCCATGGGGCCGGATGGGGTACACCCAAGGGTGCTGAGGGAGTTTGTTGATGAGATCGCAGAGACATTGGCCATAATCTTTGAAAAATCATGGTGATCAGGAGAGGTCCCGAATGACTGGAAAAGGGCAAACATAGTGCCCATATTTAAGAAAGGGAAGAAGGAGGATCCAGAGAACTACAGACTGGTCAGCCTCACCTCAGTCCCTGGAAAAATAGTGGAGCAGGTCCTCAAGGAGTAAAAGGAAGGCCCAGGGAGGAATAGGACCCCTTCTAAATGGGCAGAAGCAATTGGTGACAGACAGGGGGGACAAGGCTGAACTCCTCAATGAGTTCTTTGCCTCAGTGTTCCTAAGAGAGAGCCAAGACAAGTCTCTTACTGGGGTTGTAGAGAGGCAGCAGCAAGGTGCCAGACTACCATGTGTAGACCCTGAGATGGTGCAGAGTCACTTGGAGGAACTGGATGCCTTTAACTCAGCAGGCCCAGATGAGCTCCATCCGAGGGTACTGAAGGCACCGGCCGACGTCATTGCCCAGCCACTGGCGGGAATATTTGAAT